CGACAGTTGCGATGGACATCTTCAGACACCTCCGCACAACTCCGCCACCCCTCGACTCAGCGAAGTGAAAACTCCAGCACTGCAAGAAAGTTGGAAATATAATAAGATTGTGCTGGATCGGAAATGGATTTAAGAGAAACAAGAATAATGGCTTTAGCCCCGATTACCACTATTTAGTTAGAATAAGTTTTTTTTATAAAATGAATATTTAGTGTGGCAATTTTCCTAAAAATAAAAATTACAATGTAATTTGGCTTTTACTGACATGATAGAAAATAGCAGTTTAAATTATTTAGTATTTGTAATTCTTGTTTACTTTAATAGAAGAGCTGCAAAACTATTTCAGTCGATTGTTTCGACTAGTTGTTTTTGGACATTAGAGAAGACCCCTTAAATAATATTTAATAAATATACATATTTGCTTATGATAAGGTTGCTGGAATCTTAGTTTTTCCAGGTAGAACATGTAAGTCTTTAATGACAAATAAGGTTAGAAAATTCTCTAACAATTCAACCTTATTTAGTCAATAATGACATTTAAAACCTGGTTTTATTTTTCAGGAGTTCATTTCCAGTTCCCATATATAGTGTCGAACATTTTTAAAAAGTACACTGTTCTAGCGAACTCTAATATTTTTCACAGTGAATCAAAAAGTTTGTGGTTTTCAAATTTCGCACAGACGATCCGAGGCCTGGGAGGAACTCAGGGTAAAGCCGGCTGGAGGAGGCGAGCGGGGCAGGGGCTGGGATCCGACACCTACCAGTTGGTGCTACTGCTCAGCGCATTTATCTATTCATGCTCACAAAAAGCAATTCGAACGCCGGGTCCGGGAACGGAGCAGCCTCAGGGGGCCTGGGGATGGGTGGTCCGGGGGCAGGACAAACTTCAATGCAGCTAACGATGTAGGGACAACAACAGAAACAGAACTGCAGATGGAGTTGGAGCTGGAGATGGAGATGGAGCTGCGTTGCCCGCAATGGACTGCAGTGTAAGTTGATTCTGTGATTTTCGGGGGGAAAAGTTGTCCGGGGCTCGTCCTGGCACTCGTCCTTCTCCTGGCTGCATTTTGAGCTTTTATTATGTTTTTTGGGCAGCTCTCAGCCTCGTGTTGGTTCAAAGTTGAAGCTGCAGCGGAGTTGGGTAGCGAAATACGAGGGGTAGTGCAGGCTTTTTAGTGTTTTACACAAAAGCGCCGGCATGGACACGACCGAAAGGTCGAGGATCGGGGGCCACATTGGGTGCCGCCGGGCCCCGAAACTGGGATCGGGTTCATGGACGAATGGTTAGACGCTTGGCTGGCTACAAACAAATAGACAGACGAAAGGAATCGAGTCTGGGAAGCGTTTGCAACATGCATTAGATTGGCAGTTGGGGATTTACTTGTAAAATGCAAATGCAATGAATGTACAATTTAGAAATTTTTACACCAAAAAATAGTAGACTCGATGGAACCGTCATTGCAGTTGGGGGAGCAAAGGCAACTTGCACAGCCATGTTTCCTTCCATTGAACTGCACAACAGACGGCATACCAAGGGGCAAGGATGGGTCTGGTGTCCTGGTCTCGTGGTGTCCTGGGCGTCAGTCTGTTTTTAAAGTTCATTTGAAATGCAAGCCGTTGTTTTGTCTGAATGACTCGTAATCTATGCTAATGAAATTGTTTTTGGTTTCGGGTTTTTAAAACGAATTGCAACCCCCAACCCCTAGCGAGCTCGCAAAAACTTTCCGCATAACAACAGAAATTACCGGAGGAGCAGCAGCTACAAATAACAGCAACAAAGGGTGCCAAGATAAATAAACAAAATGTGTGTTGGCTCAAATTGAAAAGCAAGTGTAATGTACTTGAAGATAACGCTATTTTTTTCCTCGCATTCAGATGGCTTTTTTAAATAAAAATGCAAATCTTCTGAGTGATAATTGTTAATAAATAAGAAGATTATACTAAAATTGTTTTCTGAAAGTGAATAAGTTCGAAATCATTGCTATATCATTAAAATTATATGCTATTCGAGGAGATTTCTTTAATTTTCAATTTTAAGCTAGTAGAACAAATTTTAAAAAATTGCAGTAGGTTTTTCAAAATACGAGAAAAGACTCGAAAAACTGTTAAAAGATCTGCCCTTATTAACGGATCTCGATAATAACATAATAATATTTTACAAATGGATTAATAGTCCCACTTACGACTGTTAGGATCTTGATAGACATTACACAAACTCTCGTACAAATATTCTCGATATTCCCCCCAATATTCGTCAAAACTAGCATCCAATATGCTTAATTCGTTTACCAAAATGCCAAAACACATTTCCCGTTATAGGACCGAGTGAAGACTTTTATTGCAACCACAACAAGCTTACATGCCATTCATCCCCACAAAGCGATACTTGCCACAGCTGCAATAAACTCTGACTGCAGTTCCAACTTGCAACTATAAACTGAATCGCACATGCATATGAACATGCCTGCACACATGCATATCTATGTGATTGTGTTTATTGAGGAATTCATCAAAATCGCCAAGGCAACTCGAATTTTCATCGGATATTTGGCAAAAGTTGTGTCTACTACGCCCACAACACACGAGGATGCAGTCGTATACGACACTAGAAAAAAATTCCTAACTGCATACAATTTCTTTTGAATGCAATAAAATTCTAACTAATTTTAATATATTTTAATAAAATTATTGTTAATAATTTTATAATTTTTTTTTATTTACACGATTTTTTTAAAATGGTGGAGAAAGATTTAATTTAAAAGATTCTACTTGAAAAGTAAATTTAAAATGCTCGATTTATTCTATATTACTGGATAAAATGAACTTTTTACTTTTTAAAGGTAACCGATACGTCGAAAACGAAATGGTATTATTAAATTGATATTTTCGAACATCCTATAGGTTTGTATATTGAATCGAAAAAAAAGCTGCGATCCAATTTTTCATGGAAATTATCTGAGTGCAATCTTAACCCTTGAATGGCCAGGCAGCCACTTTGCCGCCCAGCAAACCTCCTCCTCCTGGAGGACGAGCGTCGCATGTGGCGTTGTTGATTACATTGTAGTGGCTGCCGTGGTTGTTGCTGCTGGATGTTGCGTTGTCTGCGGCATTATTACAGTTGTTATTGTCGTCGGTGGCTGCCGGCTCCTGGCCGCAATATAAGGAATTCGGAAAAGTTTCTCAAAAAATGTCTGCGCACTTGACGGTGACGGCGACGACTTCCGCTGCAACTTGCAATGTGTCTGGTGTTGATGCCTTTATTTATGTGCTGCCGCTGCGCCGCCACCTTCGTAACTGTAGGCCGGCCCTTCGGTGAAGCGTCAATAGTTGTATTTCAGCCCGCCCGGATCCGGAAGGATGCGAGGTACACGAATTCCTCCTTTTCAACTTAAATATTGCGCTCCGGGGGCCCCGACGTTTGAGAGTGAACTCGCAACTTTTGCGACTTTGGCCGCCCGCCTGCCGCATCGAAACATTATAGTGATTACGCTCAGTAAGACTTACGGTTTTATTGTAAGCCGCCTGGTCCGCAATCCGTAGACTCGGAACTCTACACTTATCAAAAAACTTGCCATTTGCAGTAGTTGAACTCCCCAACATAAGAATGTAGGCTAATATTTTGGCGAATATTAAAAAATAAATACGAACCATATCTAAAGCTTTTACAAAATGTTTGATTTAGTGAGCCTAGTAGTAACTTCAATCGAAAACCCTACGAAATGAAAATCTCCATTCATCTCCAATGTCCTGCATACATTTTTCCATTGTTACCATTCATTTTTGCATAGAACAAGAGAGAACTCTTTAGTCGCGAGCCTCGACTATCAAATACCCATTACTCAGCTTAAGGGATTGCGAGGGCAATGGAGATCTGCAAGCAGCTGATATTTCATTCATTATTTTAACCAATCATCCGATTTCACAGCGGACGGACAGACGGCTCGGCTAGGTGATCCTGATCAATAATATCTTCTACTTGTTTTGTACTCCTATCAAACCTTTTACTCTACGAGTAACGGGTAAATAAATGAAGTGAGTACTAGGTTTTAATAACAACTAAATACTTCGCAACACAGAGTTACAACTTATCTGAAATGGTTCTTAAAACTTTTAGAAAATCATGAAAAGAAAATCCCCTTTTCCTGAGTGCATCTGGGAAAGTGCATGTGTGTGTCGAACGTTGTGAATTGGCAATGCGAAAACTTGGTGGGAAAACTTCAAAAGCGCAGCTCGCACAACACAGACTCGACGGGGACAGCACTCCGGCAGGCACTCCTAACTACCACCTGCATTACCAAATCAAGCAGAGCACGTAATGAATCAGTCACAGCGATTAACTTTTACAGCAGCAGCGAGAGCACAAATTCCAACTGACGTTGTCGCAGAGTCGACATCCTAGGTCTCAATAGACGTTGAGATGAATGGCTTGGCCTTTGATCCTCCGAAAATCGAGGAATCTTGAAAATGTCCACCATTTCCAGTTTCCGAAATCATTGTTGAAAGAAGTACATTTTGGGGAATCTATCTAACACTCTTTTATTTATTTTTTCCCTTATTATCATTCCTCATATGCCGATCAGATTTTTAATAATCTTAGGACCGATTTCTGGTCCGCACGTTACTTTCAAAGTAAGGTTTAAAGTTTTAACTATAATTTCATATTCGATTTCAAGTTAAAAAGCTGGTTTTTAACATAGAAAATTTAATTTTGAAGAACATTTATTTCGACCTGCTTCAGTAAGTAAGCTTATTGCCTAGAAAAAATGTCCCAAAGCAACCCAATTTTATCGAGCTTTTTAACTATTCCGGTTCACAACGACAAAAAAGTCTTTTTTAAACGGTTTTGGCCAATTTTGAGTTTTATCGTAGTTATTAAATGACTTTGGAAAAAAAGGAGTTTTGTAAATCGTATTCTAGACAATTTTATCTTACATTTGATGCCTTGATTATTTAAATATTCCTTTTTAATCTGTAAGCCACTGTACAAATATTAGACACACTTATTGTTAAATAGTTTCATTTATTAGTAAAAATATAATTGTATTTGATTTGTATATTTAAGTATATTGGTTGTATAATTTTAATTAACAAATATTGCAGCAAATTTCATCTACTAAATTATGGATTACATTACGTATGCTTCATACGGTTATACGGTTGTTTGTTTTTCTTTTGCCGGCTACGCTTCGTTGTCTGCATGTGAGTTTCGGTCCGGTCCCTTCTCTAACCCTGTTTCTGAGTGTGTACGCTGGCTTACAATTAACGGAAAATTTTAACAACGAGTTACAGCAACAAAACGCTTTTCACTGACAAATAAGTGCTCGTACGTATGTATCTACATCCTTGCGCTGAGTATGTGGAGTACGGATTAAACCGCTCGGATTACGGCTAACGGCTTACATGAGGCGACATCCCTCCCGCTCGCGGCTGTTCTGCCGCGGCAGCTGGCGCTGAGTGGGCGTTGAATGGGCGGAGGAGCCGCTGGCCACCGCTGCGTTCCCATTCGACTCCAAGCTTGCATGTCGCGTGAGCCGCTGAATATTCGGGTGATGGTCCGTCACCGTCCATTGGTTTCCGTTCGCCTGCTGCGATTTTGGCACAAATTCGCCCTCCTCGTTCTCCAGTCCGTGGAGTCCAGTGGCCACGTCGACGCCCTGCTCGGTGCCCGGGCTGGCATCTTGGAGCGGCAGGCAGGCGGCGTCCCCCAGCGACTGGATGTACTGTTCCAGCAGGTAGAGGTGCGGCTGCAAAGTGAGCACAAATCCCCGGTACAAAGATCCGCTGTGTTCAAAGGTGCTCTGACTCAATTGCTTCAGGGCGGTCTCCGTGCGCAGACAGGTGTGTACAGATTCGCTGCGGATTATCCCGTTGACAATTCTCGATATGGAGGCCGCATCTTGGAGCAGGATGGATAGAACCAGCGCGTAGTCCGTGCAATTGGCCTCGATAAAGAGCTGCAGCAGATAGCGCAGCTTGATGGACAGCTTCTCGGGCAGCGGATCCACAGCCAGGTCGTCCTCCGATGCCGGCAGCGAGTACAGCCGGCGGTAGCGGAAGTTGTCGAACGAAAGCTGCGATCCCGAGCGCGTCTTCAGCACTGCTGGCAATGAGCTGGGCTGCTGCAGCTCTTCCTCCTCCTCCCGAATGCTTGGCTGCAGTTGTGGCGACTGCGTTGCTGCCCCGTTGGGCGTGGCTAGGCTGAAGTAGCCAGACTCCGATGTCTGTGAGGATCCCCCGCCTCCTCCTGTCTGCCGAAGACTGCCGCGTAGCTGGGCAAAGTCGTCTTTGGCCGGAGTGGGAAATGGACTGGGCAGCTGCAGTTCCACGTGCAGCGCTTGCAGGGCTCCCGCAAAGTCATCCAATTTGGCTGCACGCTCCGATTCCTGTGACAACCAGCTGACAAGGTGAAAGTCCAGGTACGCGCACATATAGCCCAAGTCCGTGAGTTTGTGGTTCTGCAGCAGTTGGCGAGCATGGCGCTGCAGGATCAGATCGATGCAGAATGTCTCGCGCTGCTTAGTGGACCGACGACGCACCACCGTAGGTGCCCCCGAACTGCCCGTTTCCGTCAGGGGAGCCACCGGTGGAGCCCCGGGAGCCTGTTTGTCTTTTGGCAGGTTGCTAGTCACCGTGGTGGAGAAACTTCTCTCTCTGGCAATGGGACCCAGGACCATGTTAAAGGCATCCGCATTCTGGTTCACCTGCTGCTGTGTGTTCACCTGGGGAGGCGGAGCGATTTTCACATTCACCACCATCGAGGAGCGCGGCGAATCGATCTCGTTTGGATCGATGGCCTTTAGAAAGCGAATCAGATCCTTGGCCAGCTCCCACTTTCGCTGCTGCAGAGCAATGTCCAGCAGCATGGTGGCATACTGCTTGCTCACCACAGAGGGCTCCAGGTTCTGCAGGATTATCAGGTAGCTGGCCGCCGTGTCTAGCTGCTCCGACTGCAGGCACATCTGGAACAGATCCTTGGGCTTTCCGGCCATTGAAAAGAGATAAGGCCACAGGGCAATCTCTGTTTTGCGGGCACACTGCACAATTGTCTCCAAGTAGACAGGGAACTCCCTTATAAAATCCAGAATGCTGGGCAGCTGTGCATCCGGAATGGGCTGCTTGCTTGTGGCCTCCTCCTCCAGAACCTCGTGGAGCAGAAGTTCTAGGGCGTGCGGAAAATAAGGCAGCGAGCGACACGACTGCGCAATCTCCCACGCAGAGTATCCAAGGTTCCGCTTAATCAGCTGGCGCAGCACCTTGTGCAGATAGATCTGCGACTTGCGCTCCATCACGGCGAACGGAAGTGAGAAGTGGGAGCCCTGCTCATTGGCATACAGCGTGCTCTCGTTCTCCACTCCCAGCACGATTACATTATCGAAGAGCACGACGAGGGGGTAAAGTTTCAGTGGAAATCCCAGCATTATCCGCTTCGACATAAAGCTGTGCAGACGCTGGGCACCGCCCTGCTCTCCCTCGCGCCGCTCCCTTCCCGGCGGTAGGATTGGAAGCCACACACGCATGCCGTGGGCCCCCGAGTAAAGCCAGAGGCAGTCGCGCATCGCACAGCGTTCCAGGGAGTGCGACAGCCAGAAGACCTCGACGCAGCTAGCCAAGCACGTGGCTAACAGAGTGTTGGGAACCTAATTGGTAAGCAAATTGTCATTAGAATATATGTTAAAATCATACATATTATAAGACTTAGGATTTTGCATATTTGCATATTTTTATAGGAAAAAGATGGATCAATTCCGAAAACACCAAAGTTCGCTTCAATAAAAATATAGTTTGAAATAATGGCATATTTTATTTGTTTTGCATATTGGCATAAAATGCATATGCATAAAATATGCAAAGTATATGCAAAATATATGCAAAATATAAAATAAATTCAACTATTCAAGATTGACCATTTCGTAGCCAACCTAATTTACCCGAAGAAAATTGTTTGTTCCTTTTCGTCATTTCTAAGATATCTAATTTTTTCCCAAATTTAAGGAAACCCTATTTATACTTACAACAAGTAGGCGATAAGGGGGCAAAAATAGTAAAAGGGCAGAATAGTTCTTGGCCCTATCGGCCAAACTGCTCGTTTAAATTGATCGTCGTGTTTACTGAAGGTTCCTTAAATTACCAAAAGCCCTCTGGTAGAATTAAAAATTTAAGCCTCCATTTGTTCGCATATATTTTGCATATTTTATGCATATATTTTTTGCATAAATTTAGCATATTTCCGATATGCATCCGAATTTATTACATTTGAAAAAGATGACACCTACCTAAAAATTTTGGTAAAAATCTGACCAAAAATTGACAAATATGGAAAATCCGAGGTCTAAATATTATCATAACACTTACCTGTTCCCCAGCGTCGCGCTGGATCATCAAGATGCGGCCGCAAACGTTTACAATTATAGTCTCCGCCTGCTCGCCACCCGGCTGCTGACCCTGTGGCTTTAGCTCATTCTTAAGGTTCGTCACTGTCAAACTCACTATGCACGCGGGGTGGATGCAGATGCTCTTCACATCCAGTTCGTAGGCGCACTCAATATCCAAGGCATAGGCCGATTTTTTGGACATATTAAACAGACTCACGATCCCATCGGCAGTCAGAACAATCAACTGGTGCCGAAATGAGTTGAGGCTTATAACAGGCGCACGCACCTGCAGCTTGTGGCCGTATTGGTTGTCCAGCTTGCAGTCCGCCGGATAGCAACGCAGCTCGTCCGTGCGGTCCAGCAGTGAGTAGCATCCCATGACCACAAAGCCGTGCCACCAGAGAAGCCCGCCGGAGACCACAAAGTCCTTCTCCTGCGACTCGTTGCCGAAGAGCTTCCAGCGGCGGGTGACCAGCGAGTAGTGCGCCAGGCCAGTGCGCCCGGCCACCGCCAAGTGGAGTCCATCCGGATCGATTGCAGCATACCGAATTGGCCAGTTGGTGGCCGCATAGTTGAGCGGCAGCTGCAAAACCGTCCAATACTTGCTCTCCGTGAGGATGCTGCCCGTGTGCGGGCTCTGCTTCAACTCTAGGCAGTCGCCATCGCCGGATATCGTGTCATCCGAGCCCACGCCGCTAGAGGGGAACGTGGCCTGGCTGCCGGCATATGTCTGCTCCAAGTTGTTGCCCTGGTTGAGGTACAGGCAATCGTCGCCCTGCAGCAGGATGTGCGGATTGGTGGTCATGCAGGGATTCATGCTCAGCGCACTCTTTACAAACTGTAGCTGCAGCACATTGCTCTTGTCGTTTTCCTCCCTCTCCGGCGGCTGCTGCGTCAGCATAAAAAGCTGATAGCCCTCGGTGGACCACTCCAGCCGGCGGAGCTTGAGGGGATTTTGCCGAACTAGATCCACGTTGAGGCCAAAGTCCCAGCTTAGGGTGGACATTAGCAGCGCTCCAAATGTGCTCCAGAGGGACAGACCACCATTCGTCCAACTAACTGCCAGGACGCAGCCGTCGGGGCTCCACTTTAGCTCGTTCACCGAGCCCAGACTGCCGGGCAGCACATTTTCCGTGAGCATAAGGCGGTGCGAGAACTCCAGCCCGCCGGTGGCCTCGTCTATCCCATAAACATTCACCGCGGAGCTCTCCTGGCCGTAGGCCAACAGCCGAAACTTGTGGTTCACACTGCAGACGCTCGCATCCTCCACATCGGGCACCCAGAAGCCGTGCATGTGGTCGGTCTCGAATCTCAGATGGTTGGCAATCAGGAAGGCGGCACGGCGATCGCTGAAGACGGCCGCACAGCCGCCGATAAACGGGGAGTACTCCAGCGAGGCCACATAGGAGTCCCTGCTCAGGGGTGGAACATTCCGGGCGGCGGACTGCTGCTGCTGCTGCTGCACGTAGAAGGGAATGTCGCGCAGCTTGATGGCCGCCAGGGCTGGCAGCTCCAGTTCGTTCTCGGCGTGCTCCAGCTGAGTCCATTGCAAGCGCAGCAGCTCGCAGGACTGAGTGGCCAGGAGGAGTTCGCTGAGGCTGATGCAGCACACGGTGGTGATGACGGAGCCCAGGGTAACGCTGCACAGCTCGCGCAGGCTCAGGCGGGGAATGTTCTCCTTGATGAACAGCTCGGCGGAGTCGCGTTTGAGGCTCGCAGAGGGTGGATCCACCTGCAGAAGGATACCACTTCCATTCGCATCGAAGTCCAGCTGGTAGAGCAGCAGGGCGCCGGATGCGGTCAGCAGGGCCAGTTGCCGGGAGTCGGGCTTCCACACAATCACCTGGTTCGAGCCGTACTGCCGCAAGGAGTCCTCCGTGCGCCGAAAGTAGGCGATGGGAATGAGCGGGTTGGCGTACCAGATGCCCAGGAAGTCATCGCCCACGGCGGCCACGAGTATCTTGACCGCGTCGCAGCAGATGTGCCGGATACTGGCGCTCTCGCCGGGCAGCGCCAGGCCCACCCGCTTGGGCCAGCCCACGGGAAAGTACATCCTCCGAGTGAAAAGTGGCTGCGCAAACGGAAAACTGCATTAGCAAGGGCGGGGGTGCGGAAAAACGGTTTTTGCCTGCGGACGGGTGCGGGTGCAATTACATTGTGTGGGTTACGCCCAGTTTTACATGATCTCCCTCGCCTAATTAGCACTTTTACCAAACATTCCACAGCACAACAAGAATTCTGCGCGATTTTACGCGTATACAAATGTGAGTGCTGACATTCGCCCCGAAATCACAGCTGTTTGCCAATCGCCGTTTCGCACCACTGATTTGTTCAAGCAACAGTGCTGATAGCTTAGCTTTTTTCCGCTAGCTGTTTCGAAAAAATTTAATTTTTGTCTTTTTTGCAGAGATTTATTAATTTTGGCCTGTCAAGAATATCTTTTTACAATATTTAATATAAAGTTAAAACTTTACTATTTTCGGTAGTCAAACGTAATATAACTAAAAATTATCCATCAATATTCTATTATGGTAGGTCGGGTTCATATCCTTTTTCATAAATTCAGGAGAAGAAAATTACTGATAAGCCAGCTTTAATGGTTATAATTAAATTACAAATTTAAAATATGTTAGTTTTCAAAAACACAGATTGTATTTTGAAAATACTCTTTATTGACGAAACAAAAATAAAAATAAAGAACAGCCTGTAAGTTCTTTTTAAATCAAAGAGTCTGACAAATTTTAACGCTTGATTTGTTGAATAGTTCAGATGAATAGTTTCTGGAAATTCTGAAACAAAATCAAAAACAATTTGTAATGATCGAACATAAAATCGAAACTCTCGTCCAAAAGCCCCTTAATTTCAATCATAGCTATTTTTCTTTAAAATACTTGAATTTATTTATTTGCCAGCCTACTTTGGCACCACTGAAAAGTTCCAGATTTGTAGTTCCCGAACTGGTTCAGTCACAAACCACCGTCAAATTGAACTTGATAAATCAGCCGGCATTCGAGCAGCATAAAAAAGAGGATTTCACAAATATTCTCAAAATGACTGCGTTCGAAGGTAAGTTGAAATCAATATTCCATCAATATTTTATATCTAATTCCTGCCCGCAGAGTTTGGCGTGCTTCCGGAGCTGGGAAAGGCCACCGACGAATTGGACTGGACGTAAGGAGAAACACACTTTAATTTCCCATAACTTAACTTTACTTAACTTGCAGCCTGCCCACCGATGTCCAGGCGGAGGCCATTCCCCTGATCCTGGGCGGCGGCGATGTGCTGATGGCCGCCGAAACGGGATCGGGAAAAACGGGTGCCTTCTGCCTGCCCATCCTGCAGATCGTGTGGGAGACTCTGCGGGATCTGGAGGAGGGAAAAGCGGGCAAGGGCGCCGCAGGAGGAGCATCTGTGGCGCCCTGGACCATGTCCTTCTTCGACCGCGGCAACGCCCTGGCCGTGACTCCCGAGGGCCTGCGCTGCCAGTCGCGGGAGTTCAAGGAGTGGCACGGATGCCGCGCCACCACCGGTGTCCGCGGCAGGGGAAAGTTCTACTTCGAGGCCACCGTCACCGACGAGGGCCTCTGTCGCGTGGGCTGGTCCACGCAGCAGGCGAACCTCGATCTGGGCACCTGCCGCATGGGCTTCGGATTCGGCGGAACCGGCAAGAAGTCCAACAACCGACAGTTTGACGATTACGGCGAGGCCTTCGGCAAGGCGGATGTCATTGGTTGCCTGCTTGATTTGCAGCGCCTGGAGGTGAGCTTCTCCAAGAATGGACAGCACCTTGGGGTGGCCTTCCGCCTGCCGGAGAACCTGGCCAAGGAGACCTTCTACCCGGCGGTGGTGCTTAAGAACGCAGAAATGCTGTTCAACTTTGGAAAGACTGACTTTAAGTACGCCCCGGGCAACGGATTTGTGGCCGCCTGCCAGGCAGGAGCGGAGCATAGCAGGGCCAATCCAGTGGCCAGTGCCGCAGCTGGAGCAACGAGCGCCAAACCGGCGCCGAATGCCCCGCAGGCAATCATCATCGAGCCCAGCAGGGAGCTCGCGGAGCAGACCTACAACCAGATCGAGAAGTTCAAGTACCACTTGAGCAACCCCGAGGTGCGCTCCCTGCTGCTCATTGGCGGCGTGAGGCTAGAAGAGCAGAAGGCGCAGCTGATGCAGGGCACCCACATCGTGGTGGGCACCCCGGGCCGTCTGGAGGAGATGATCAACAGCGGCCTAGTGCTGCTCACCCATTGCCGCTTCTTCGTGCTGGACGAGGCTGACGCTCTGCTCAAGCAGGGCTACACCGAACTGATTGACCGGTTGCACAAGCAAATACCCAAGATCACGTCGGACGGTCGCCGGCTGCAGATGGTTGTCTGCTCCGCGACGTTGCACGCGTTCGAAGTGAAGAAGATGGCCGAGCGCCTGATGCACTTCCCCACCTGGGTGGATCTAAAAGGGGAAGATGCCGTGCCGGAGACAGTGCACCACGTCGTTTGCCTGGTTGATCCCCAGGCGGATTCCAGCTGGCAGTCGCTGCGCCAGCCCATCAACACCGACGGCGTCCACGATCGGGACAACGTGCATCCGGGCAATCCCTCCCAGGAGACGCAGTCGCAGGCAGTCAAGCTGCTGAAGGGAGAGTACTGTGTCCACGCCATAGAGAAGCACAAGATGGACAGGGCCATCATCTTCTGCCGCACCAAGCAGGACTGCGACAACCTGGAGAAATATCTTCGCCAGCGTGGCGGGCAGCGCTACTCGTGCGTCTGCCTGCACGGCGACCGAAAGCCGCAGGAGCGCAAACAGAACCTCGAGATGTTCAAGCGGCAGCAGGTCAAGTTTCTCATTTGCACGGATGTGGCGGCCCGCGGGCTTGACATCACCGGACTGCCGTTCAGTAAGTTTATAGCATGGACCGTAAATAATCATTATTTGAGATTTTTATTTTAAAAAGACTACTCTGATATTTTGTTTTAAACGTCAAAAATAACGTTCTTTTTACTCTTGTCCACAAAGTATATGCATTTCAACAAATCTGGAAAGCAAATTAACTGTTATTTGTTCATGTCTATAAAGTGCATAAAAACCAGTTAAATTGTTGATTTAAACTTGTAAAAACCTCAGTAGGCCTTTTAAAAAAAAATCTTAAATAATGATTATTTACGGTCCCTGGTTTACAGGTTTAGATAATACAGATAGGCAAAGAAGGTCTCAAATAGGTCAATAGGTCTCTCAAAAGATAGAAAATCTTAGAAGCAGGGACCGTAATCATTATAAGCGATATTAAAAAAAATTAGAAAAAATCATTAATCCTAATAATCAATATTTTTGAGTTTTATAAATATGTATCAGGATAATCCTTTTTTTTTTTTTTAATTTTATGAATATTTATCAGGAATAATCATTCAAAAATATCGCTCACAAATAATGAAAAACCTCTTAAAAAGCGGTTTTAAGTTTAAAAGAGGTATGTGCGTATTCCATTACTGAAACGTCTTAATAAGATAGTATGAACTAAATTATCTAAATCGATATGTAGTCTAGGTGCTAGTGGGAATATAAAAAATGGTATTGAAAAAGATACTTATTCTATGTGGGATTCGAACTCCACTAATTACAAGTAATGATTATTCCTGATACATATTAATAAAAGTAAAAAATAGTGATTATTTCTTAGCAATATTAATTAAAAATCAAAAAACCGTGATCATTGCGGATTTGAAGATCATTGCGGATTTAAATAGTAACCAAATGGTGTATTTCATTTGTTTTCCGACTATTATATATGACTGCTTTTTAGATTTAAAAGTAATGATTACTTTCGCTCCCCACTCAGAGCAAACAGTTACAGTACACTGATATATTTATTTTTAAATGACCTTTTTTTCCTTCTTACTCCCAGTGATCAATGTAACGCTGCCCGACGACAAAACCAACTATGTGCACCGCATCGGACGCGTGGGCAGGGCGGAGCGCATGGGCCTGGCCATCAGCCTGGTGTCCACGGTGCCGGAGAAGGTGTGGTATCACGGCGAGTGGTGCAAGTCGCGCGGCCGCAACTGCAGCAACACCAACCTGACCGACGTCCGCGGGTGCTGCATCTGGTACAACGAGCCCAATCTGCTGGCCGAAGTGGAGGATCACCTGAACATTACCATCCAGCAGGTGGACCGGGCCATGGAGGTGCCGGTCAACGACTTCGACGGCAAGGTGGTGTACGGCCAGAAGAACTTCAACACGGGAAGCGGCTACGAGGACCATGTCGAGCAGCTGGTGCCCACCGTTCGCAAACTGACCGACCTCGAGTTGCAATCACAATCTTTATTCTTGAAACGCCTTAAGGTCTAAAACGGATTTGGATCGGGAGCTGGATCTGGAGCGGTATTCGTTTGCTAAGCAAGGAGAGGGTGTCGTGAACGGAGGACTGCATGACCAACTCACGCGGGAATACTTTTGCGGCACAGACACACATAAATATGTAGGAAATCGGAGCTGTCGCTCTGTCATTACGAGTAAACATTCAATTAAACTAACATTAAAATCTTCTGTCTAAAGAGTAAACAGCCTCGGTTGGGAGCTGGAGCTTGAGTATCACTCCTCCTCTTCCTCCTCCTCCTCCTCTTCGTCCTCCTCGTAGAACTGAGTCCTCATCTGCTGCAGCTGCCTGAGTTGCTGGCACAGCTGGTTCCCGAACGACTCCACGTAGCGTGGGCTGATCTTGTCCAGCAGTGCGTAGGGCGTCTCAAAGATCTCCTCCTGCTCCTCCACATCGTTGTCCTGGTCCTGTCCGTTGCGCAGCAGGGCGGAGATCCGCGCATCCTCGTCGATGGTGTCGTACTGGGAGGAGACGATCTTGAAGCCACGACTGGTCACCTGCACGCAGCAGGTGGCACTCTCGATGGTCCGGATGTTGAGGTAGATCTGCGTGGCATCGCTGGCCAGTTTGGAGGAGATGCAGATCTCCGCGACGTGGGCCTTCACATCGTTGATGATGGCGTTCGCCTCGTCCTCGCAGTTGAAGGGCTGCTCCTCCCCAGGCTCCGCGCTGGCTTTCGGTTCGCCCATCCTGTCTGAGTTTCTACGGAGGGCTTCGGCTCGCCTTTTAATTGAATCCCAGTCGATTTCGTTCGGTTTTTACAGGCGCAACATGTCTTTCTATTCCATATGTCAATTCAGCTGTCTGCCGTCTGCCGCGCGTTAGTACATTTCAGATGGCGAATAAAGGCGAGGCGTTCTGATTTTGGTTTTCTCTACTTTTAGGGCCGTTTTCTCGTCCGCCTGTTAAATTTAAAATATGGTTAAAACTTTGATTTCCCATACGATTTCCACTTTAAATTTAACAAACGGACGAGAAAACGGACCTTAATTTGAAAAAAAAAATCTTGGATTTCTTAGAATGTTGAATTGCTTAATTGTAAAAAATTCCCTTAACTGTTAAATTGTTGAAAATTCAAAAGAAAATTAAAAAAATTTTGGAATCTTCAAAAACAAAAAACGTAAAATTTGATTTTTTGTATTGTTACTGCCTAATAATGTTACCGATGTAAGAAAAACTAAAAATATGTTTTCTATTTTGATTTTAAAGTAAAGAAAGCTAATGAGGCTGAGGAACAGCTGATTAACAACTCACCAAAGTACAACAATTCAGCAATTTAACAGTTTAGAGAATACCCAAAATAGAAAATTGTAGCAATATAGAACCCTAAATGGGTAATGAATTTTTAAACAGCTCTTATTTATTAAAAAGTTTCATGAAACTTAAAACATGTCAAATTTGATATTGTATTATTATTTACTGTCTCAATTGTTACCAAGTAGAGCCCTGCATGAATGGATTCAATGAATTATTTTGAATTTTTTTCTGTTATATGAATGAATTAATTAGAATTTTGTGTTTAATAGAATTGAATGAATTTGAATTTTGACTTTAATAGAATTGAATGAATGAATGGCATGAATTCCGAAATAATTCAAACGACAATTTATTTTGAGGAAGAAAGGGCCATTATTTTGTGATTAAATCTACCTGAATTTTATTTACTATGCAGTTAACATTGATTTGTTAAAAATTTTCCACTTTTTGTTCTCAAAAGAAAACACAAAAAAAATCTGAAAAATTCAAACAATTCATAAAATATTTCATTCGATTCATTCAATTTGAAATGAATTAAAACAACATTCAATTTATTTCACATAGAATTGAATTAAACAAATCAGAAATTCCATGGCATACTATGATAAAACAAAAATTGAATGATTCATGCAGGGCTCTATTACCAAGGTTAAAAGAACTACAAATATACTTTCTATAATAACAGCTGTTTAAAAAATTCAACAGTAACCATTTATGTCGTTCCCTCAATTGCTGAAGCTTTCTGTTGATTTTTCAACAATTGAACAGTTTAGGAAATACCCAGAAAATTTGTTTGTAATCTTAAGTCGGTAAAGACAGATCACCTAATTTCTGTCTAAAAAAATCAAAAGCTTATGGAACTTTAGAAGGTTTTCATTGTTTCTTAACTTTCTGTTTTATCTAATTAAACTAACTAAACAACCCGAAAAAGATCTTTTCGCTGAAGCGTAATTTGGTCGCTGTTGCAGAAACACGTTTTGTCTGAACAGTGTATAAAAGTTCTAGGACCAGTGCTGGAAAACAATAAAGGAAAAACATCAATTTCGACAAACACATCGATAGGACAGAATAATCATCGGCTTTGTTCCAGCTCTAATTTCATTGCGAAAAAAAATAAGAATCGGGCATCGGCACGGACGACTGAAACTGCAATTTGAAGAATACACGGACAGAGTTGTGGTGCTCGGCAGACACAGACATTCAGGGCGTGTGACAGCGATCGCAAGTGTTAATTACCCGTTCGCAGGCGAAGTGACAGAGGCACAGGCTTCAGAATGAGCGCACCTGGCATGGACAAGAGAAAACTCTCGTAAGTATTTTGCAGAATTCCTTCGTTTTTTCCTCCACTGCGCACACACACACACACACGCGCCGTAGGCACGGTGCACGAGTGTGAGTAGCAGCTGCGCGCAGGCAGCGCAGTCGGCGTGAAATTGATTTTTCGCGGCAGAAATTTTCTCGAGCAGCAGGCATTTCCTTAGCTGCGTCGGGATAAACAAGGATCAGGGGCGGGGGAGGGGGGAGAGGCAGCTGTGGAGCGGATGGGAGAACAAACGATTTCGTCCTGGGCAAGGCCAAGGACAAACTCTGCAATCTGAGCAAAGTCGATTTGTATCTAAAGGCGAATTCAATAATCGCTGTTTATAGGGGAGTTTATAGATCATATTATATAGAGAGAGCATATAGAGAAGATCTGTTCATTGATCAACATTTGGTGCTCAGTGTCATGAAAATATTAATAGGATTATGATGGAAAACGCCTAACTGTATGACTCACAAATGCCCCATGTTTTCCATGATTTTTTAGAGAAAAAATGCTATAAATCGTAAAATTTATAAGGAAGATTTGGTTATAATCCATACAAGGTATCATATAGTCGGGGCAACCAACCTTAGTTCCTGCTTTAGCTTTCCATGCAACACATTCCGCATTCGCTATAAGTGAGCGATAACAGGGCCCATAGATCCAATCGCTCGCCGACTAGCCAACTAGCCAAGTTGGCCGTTATCAGCCAGAGAGTTTTACAAACGTATTAGCCCTCTCTCCACTTCGACCCGAAATGAGTAATGCCAGCACAAACCGCTTCCATTTGGCCCAGTTCTATGCGCTGTCCAAGGCGAAAGCGAGGGGGCTTCGCCTGTCGTGACGCCTGAAAGCGTCCTTGGCCCTGTGCAGCCACCCACCGCCCACTGACCCTGGGCCTGGCATCCGCTTGAGCCCCTAATCACCCTCATCATCGTGGTCCTCAGCCACTCAGTCAAACGCTTGCCGTCTTATCAGCTCGCAGATTTTCCTCCCCCGCTTTCGCCCTTATAAAGCTTATAAATAGCAGCCACCTGCTCAAGAAAATCCATACGGGGTGCAATTTATGCTGCACGCGACCCCGCTGCAGAGACCTAGACTTCCTCAATGCCAACGCCTAGTTTAGAGCCCGTAGGGCCAAGTGCTCCCCTGGAATGGCTCCCATCGCGTGCCACGGCTAACTGTTGCTGCCTGGTGACTCATGGCCCACAGGTACTTGCCTTGGCTGGGCTTTTATCGCCCTCGGCCAGTCACTCGAGTTACTCCGTTGACGGAATGTCGCTGGAACAGTGCAACTCCGCTACAGAAGTTTTATCGGACCATGCGTATCAGCCTTTAATTCCAAATGCCGAGACGTGGATAGTGGGATTCCCTCAAATGTAGCGATTTTACTAATGTTATTCTCCCTTATCCAGCACATCCGGCGACTCGCTGTACGAAATCCTGGGACTTCCGAAGACGGCCACCGGAGATGATATCAAAAAGACTTACCGGAAACTCGCACTCAAATACCATCCCGACAAGAACCCCGACAATGTGGATGCGGCCGATAAGGTAAAGTGTTGGCAAATAATGATTTCTATAGAGCCCTTCTAAATTCTCTTCTTTCTGCAGTTCAAGGAGGTGAACCGCGCCCACTCGATCCTGAGCGACCAGACAAAGCGCAACATATACGACAACTACGGCTCTTTGGGCCTGTACATCGCCGAGCAGTTTGGCGAGGAGAATGTCAATGCGTACTTTGTGGTCACATCGCCGGCTGTGAAGGTCAGGAATCGCAATGTCCCATATAGCACTCATTGAATAATCACTGTGCTTTTCTTGCAGGCCCTGTTCATCTGCTGCGCCGTGGTCACGGGATGCTGCTGTTGCTGCTGCTGCTGCTGCTGTTGCAACTTCTGCTGCGGCAAGTTCAAGCCGCCGGTGAACGAGTCGCACGACCAGTATGCACATCTGAATGTGAGTGAAGTTTGAATTGGCCCAACCAAGTCCAGGTCCCAACACCCACACCCTAACCCAGTCCGCTACTAACTGAAATCGTTTTGATTTAGTTGAGAAAACTGAGAAAACAAGAAAACCAATCTGGTGCAAAGCCTATATTTAAACCCTTACGCATGCTTCCCATCCAACCACACACACTGTACTATATACTGTATTACCAACTAAACACCAGACCAATTTTGATGATTTTTGTGAGGAGTTCCGTATCGTTGTTCCGTTTAAGAAGCTAATGTTTAGTCAAAAACTTGCTCCTACATCTCTGACATCAACGCTTGCCCACCAGCTAACCGATCAATAAACGCCTATCCATTTGTTTAGTATAATTTATCTGGTCTATCAGCTTTCTTGGCACGCCACCTCTTTTGTTTGGTTTTGCTTTAGACCCGTACAAACACTCGACTCTGGTTGCACCGCTTTGTTCTTAGTTTTTCGTTGGGGTAAGTATGGAGTTTGGTTTTGGTTTTCGGTTCTCAATACTCTATATACACAGAGGAAATCCCAGAGGTAAACACTACTAACCCATCCACAAACCGTTCCGATCAATTCGAGTTAAGTTCTTACGTATTGGAAATTTCAAATTTGATATTGTTTGTTTTTAATGTGTACTTCACGAAAATCATCAAATGCTTCGAACGATTCTCTCTCTCTTAATCTTTTAATGTAAACTAATGATAACACAACACTCGGATTTTCCGCGACTGAGATTGCGGAATCGAATTCCCAGAATACAAATCCAGCGCTTTTGATTTCATCCACGATTGCTTTTCTTGTTTTTTACGTGTCCCATTCCGCACTCAGTTTTAGTTTGCACCCACATCTCCTTTGTTTGGTTGCAAGCCAGGGAAGAGAAGACGAAGATTTACGTTTCTATTTTGGTTTAACTTTTTTTTTCTCAAAACTCTTTGCGATCGACTCATCATATCCACCACCTACTACCACCCACAACCACCACACACTCGCTCAGCGCCCCGATGGCAATCGAGAGGTCAACGATTTGCCACCGCATTTGGGACAGCCGCCACGACTTGTAAGTATGCGAATCGAAAATGATACCAGCACGAGTGTTGCATGAGCTCGAGGCAAGATCACCTGCCGTCTGGCACCTGCCACCCACCAACTGACTAACACAAGCCAATAACCAAATCCGAACTCTACTCAAACGGTAACAATCAAAATTTACATGTTCCAAGGGAACCAATCTTACTAACAATTAGTCGCAAAATTGACTCAATCGAAAGCAGAG